CTGTATGACATGGGGGTGGAGGATGATTTTGATGAGGAGGAAGATGAGATATGAGCATCCGATCTGTAGTAATTAGAGGTTGCAGTGCCAGAAACACAGTTTGTTGTGATATTTCCCCTTTGATGAGCAGCTCCACGGCTGGTGGACATTGATGGGAACGTCGGTTTACGTCTATAATGCTCAAAAATTTATGCAATGCTCCCTGTTCGCGGAGAAGCCGGTGAAGCATGTTGACGAGAAGGTAGGAGCAAGAGAAGGTTCGTACATGTCTTTAATGAGGCCATGCTAGTCAGAGTGGTAAGCGGTAGCGTGACTATCAATATCTTGCTATGACCAAGATTGCGCAAAGAACCTTCTGAGTACATGCCACGACGGTGATGTTGCAATACCGCCCTCAATACTGCCCTCAACATTGCCCACCGTCCGAATATGGTAGGTGGCGTACTGAAATGTACTCAATCGGTACGAAAAGTATACCTCCGTCGACGCTCCTGAACTTTCGCATGACGCTCGGCGCGAGGATCACTTTTGCACTCTCAGACACCATACCTTACAATAGCCTTTGTTTAGCACTACGATCATAAGCGCATACATACGCGCTCTGCACTCCAAGTGTAATCAAGCGACTGCGCTCGTGTCTCAAATCCTGCTCTGCCTTCCTGGACATCGCGATCGAAAGTAAACATCTGCCGAAAAGTGAGGGAGAAGCTTTCGGACAAACTAGATGGAGTCGGGAAGAGGAGGTGGTAGAGGCCGTGGTCGTGGTCGTGGTCGTGGAGGAGGCGGTTACGGCGAGAGAGAGCGACACGGTGCGCGCGATGGCAGAGACGCTCGGGGAGGTAGAGATCGAGAAGATGGCGGACACAGGGGTGGTGGTCATGAGGGTATGCCTCAAAAGATCTCAAAGTCATCGCGTCGCTCAGCTGACAGACTGCTAGGCGATTATCGCTCAAACCGGCGCGATGCACGCTCACGATCGCCCGTGAGAGACGGACGAGGCGCACGAGACGCTAGAGAACGATCTCCACCACGAGGGCCGCGTTCCAACCGACCAACTTCACCACGACGCAACGGTCCACCGGCAAACGGACGTACACAGCCGTCCTCTCAAGTCCCACCAGGCCCCAGGAACACCGCGAACGACCTGAAAGCGCCGGCGCGCGTGAACGGCGATATCAAGGCTGGCAGGGAGGACGAGGACGGCGGAATGGACGAGGATGAGGATGAGGAGGCACAGATGAAGCGCATGATGGGCTTCGCAGATTTTCGATCGACGAAGAACACCAAGGTTCCCGGAAACGACAAGCTCTATGCTGTTAGGAAGGACAAGAAGACTGTGTACAGACAGTACATGAACCGTGTAGGCGGATTTAACAGGCCATTGTCGCCGAGCAGATGAGGCTCTTTGGCCAAGGATACGGTGGATAACGCCCCACGAATCACGATCTTGGGGCGAGAGGGTCAATTCGATCCAGCTTGCGTTGCGCGAGGGATCAGGACTTGATCTGCACAGGGCCGGGCATCAAGACAGCAAGGATGCGCATGCCGAACTACCAGCATATCCCTAGCGGTGGAGCTTTCACGCCAGAGTCGATGTACAGCAGGACACAGAGGACACAGAAGGGCAAGTCTGATGGCGAAGCTGAACGCCAGTGGCGTACAATATGGCCGAACAAGGGTTGAGGCACTTTATAACACTACGAGATACCATGAATCAACACTTTTCGCTTCCACCTGTCCTGCCTTCACTTCTGTCCCATATCAGCCTTGGCAGCGATACGCGCTACCCCACAGAATGCGGGCGGATGACGATCGCTTTCAGGGCACGAAACGTGTCTCGAAACAAATCCTAATGGAGCTCTGAGCTGCCATACCACCACTCCTTCTTCGTACCCATACAATGGCTGTAAACATGGGCTTCTGGCCGCTGGCGCGGCTACTGGCTCTTCTGCAGCTTCTCACATTGAACGTACAAGCTGCCGAATCTGAAGTCTTCAGCAAAGCATCCAACGATTCTCTACTATGGGGACCATACAGGCCGAATCTCTATTTTGGTGTCCGACCCCGTATACCCAGGAGCGTCTTCACCGGCATGCTTTGGGCTCGGGTAGAAGATTACCAGACTGTCCAGCACAGTAACAAATACCCTCCACGCATACAAATGCACTAATGGCTGACATTTGGCTTAGACTTTAGACACACATGCGAGCAACACGAGGGCATGGCCGGCTACGGCTGGGACGCCTACGACCCACGTATGGGCGGCTCTCAGACTATCCACGACAGCGGCAACGGTATCGACATTACAACCGACTTCGTCAAGTTCCCAGAAAAGGGCTCACATGGCGGGTCCTGGGCAGCTCGCATCCGCGGCACGCCCCGCGAGGACGCAACTGAGGATCTCAGGACGACGGTTGTATTCTACGTCGGCGTGGAAGGACTTGGTAGCCTGGAGGTGGAAGGCGCGGAGGAGGTCGAGAACGAGGTGGGATTCGAGGGAGACGTAAAGATTGATGGGCAGACGCCGGATCTTGGAGAGTTCAAGATCAGCGTGGTGGACGTGAAGGGCGAACACCCGGTGCATACCCATCCTAGTCACCAGGAGAAACCCCTCGGCAAGACATTTGTGCACAGCACACAGCTTCCGGAGGAGGCGCTTTGGCAGGCTAAACGTGAGTCCGTTCGAGAGGATGCAGTGGATACAGTTCAGAAGATATGTCGGCTAACAACCGCGCTTGAGTGAAGCTATCCTCTTCTCTAGTATGAAAACAACCATCGACAAGTATGTCGAAGAATACACTCAGGAGAAAATGCCTCCACCTTGGCAGACCTACACAATCCAGAACCGGCCCGGGACGGGCAACATGCACATGGTACAGAAGACTTTCGAGGGTGCATTCGAGGTTGGTCGTATATCTCCAACGAGACCGGTCTGTCGCTGACCAAATAGTTTGATGTAATTTTTGCATCTGGTTCTGATCCAAAGGCTCCAACCTGTAAGCCAACCTACCCTGCGAGTGGGCCATGCTGACAAAGTCTCTAGCCAAGGACATCGAGACCACCATTCCGTTGATCACGAAGTCCATCACTGAACGTTTTGCCGGTATTCACAAGCCGCAAGCTCCGTTCGATTCTAAAGAGTACCTCGAGTTCTCCAGGTCACTTTTCTCCAATCTCATTGGTGGTATTGGCTACTTCTACGGCGATACTGTCGTTGACCGTTCCTATGCTCCTGAATATGAGGAGGAGAACGAAGGCTTCTGGCAGGAGACTGCTGAAGCTCGAGCGAGGAACCAGCACAAGCTTGAGGGTCCTTATGAGCTGTTCACTAGCATCCCATCTCGTCCATTCTTCCCACGCGGCTTCTTGTGGGATGAGGGGTTCCATTTGCTGCCCATCATCGACTGGGATGTTGATCTCACGTAGGACTCAAGACTAACCGTTATAGAGGCGCAAGCTGACAGTATTCCAGACTTCAGATAATCAAGAGCTGGTTTAACCTTATGGATGAGGATGGCTGGATCGCTCGCGAACAAATTCTCGGTTCCGAAGCGCGCAGTAAGGTTCCTGGAGAATTCCAGGTCCAATACCCACACTATGCCAACCCGCCAGTCCTGTTTATGACTCTTGATGCGCTACTCGACAAAATCGTCATTACTTCCGAAAAGAAGCCTGATTCTGCCCAACAAATGCCGCTGGTCAATCAGGGCCTCGCAGATCCGGAGGTTGGCATCTCCTACTTGCGCGACCTGTACCCTCTGCTCAAGCGACACTACGAATGGTTCCGCAAGACGCAATGGGGTGACCTGAAGTCCTACGACCGCCCTGCATTCTCCTCGAAAGAAGGATACCGCTGGCGCGGCAGCACCAAGACGCATCTCCTGACATCTGGTCTGGACGATTACCCCCGTCCTCAGCCACCACATCCGGGCGAGCTGCACGTCGACCTGATCAGCTGGATGGGTATGATGACGCGCTCACTGAAGCGTATCGCGACCATGCTCGGCGAGGAAGACGACGTCTCACGCTTCTCCAAGATCGAAGAAGCCATCATTCGCAACATCGACGACTTGCACTGGGACGAGGAGCAGCAGGCGTACTGCGACGCCACCATCGATGACTACGAAGAGAGCGTACACGTCTGCCACAAGGGCTACATCAGCCTTTTCCCCTTCATGACAGGGCTGCTCGGCACGGAGAACAAGCACGTCGATGCCGTGTTGAAGCTGATCGCTGACCCACAAGAATTGTGGAGCGAGCATGGTATCAGGAGCTTGAGCCAGAAAGATGAATTCTACGGCACGGCGGAGAATTACTGGCGCAGTCCAGTCTGGATCAACATCAATTACTTGGTTTTGAAGCAGCTCTACGTAAGTCGTTCTCCCCCTCCTACCTCTCTCCTACACCATGGCAACCTTCAGAGCGCTTTTGAAGCCATCCGCTAACCCATACGCAGAACACCGCCACAACCACAGGTCCACACAACCAGCAACTTGCGAGAAGGACCTACAACGCGCTCCGCTACAACCTCGTCGAAACCGTGTACAAGAGCTGGAAGGAGACTGGTTTCGCTTGGGAGCAGTACAACCCAGAAACCGGTGCCGGACAGCGTACGCAGCACTTCACCGGCTGGACCAGTTTAGTGGTTAAGATCATGGCCATGCCGGATCTGGCCAAGAAACCGAAACAGGGCGGGCATGATGAGTTGTGAGGAGGGACTGGACAGGCTTGCAAGAAAAAGGTTCTGGGGGCGTAGGGACTAGAGAAAAGGCGGTGAGGCGACGGAAGTAGAAAAGTGGGTTGATGCGCTCCGGTGTCTAAGCACTTGGAGCATAGAATTCGCTGTCAGATGAACATACAAATCAGTAGATATGCACGTCGTTGTCCGGATAGAAACAAGTTCCATCGACTGTAACGCAAAACCATTTCCCACTTGAACATGAGGTTGCAAAAAGTGCTGACCGACGTCCGACGAGGAGGGGCATATCAGCAAAAGCAGATGCCCACTGCCGGGATTGAACCAACGACCTTTGCATTGCATGATATACAAGTGCAACGCTCTACCACTGAGCTAAACGGGCTCTTTCTATCCTGTATCATAATCCATCCATGCGGATTTGTCGTGCAGCAACCACAGACTAATATATCGGCTTGCTCAATCTCTAGACATACGCATGCCGTTCAACTGCACGATCACGAACGGCCATGTAAACACACCGTCACGGCAGAAACATGGCAGCACGCTATCAATCGCTTCTCGTACAGTATCGACGGTTGTCCTATTATCAAGATCTGGTCTACAAATGAACCTTGTGACTCCGACGAAACATCTTCGGTCTCCTCGTTCTCTCTCAACCTAGGCGTCGGCTCTGCTTTACGATGGTAGTTAGTTAATTAAGTCTACTGAACGGTTGGGATCACCGGAGGGAAAAAGACAGGTAGCAAGGACGATCAATTGCATCAGGCTCATCGGTCTTCTACCAACTCTCGAGTAAGTGGCATTCTCCCGCTGATCATGAATTAGGTTGTAGGTACGTCAGGTCAGGTCAGGTCAGGTCGCACGCTCCGCCCGACAGCTTAGAAGTCATCACCGCCCATGTCACCGCCCATGTCACCGCCACCGTCATCACCCTGGTCGTACTGTGCACTCGAGTCAGCAAGAACCCTCCAAACTTTTGGAAATCGCATCAACGTTCTCATCAGTCAGTTCCAATGACTGACTGACTGCTATCTCAACGCAGCTTCGATAGCACAACACCCGCATGCGAAATGCGTATGCGGATGAAGCGTGCTATGCCTGACGGTAGCACTTGACGGCAGCTATAGAGGTGGACCAGGCGTAGCGCCTGAGCCTCGATGCTACCGCCGTAGCTGCGCAGTTGCATTGCGATAGCAGTCAACCAGCAACTGAGCTGTCTGTTGGTAACACTGATTGGGTCACTTACTCCTTGGTCGTAACCCTGTTGGTAGGCGGCATCCTCATGGTCGTCAATCGCGTCCGCAATCAACGCACCGCCAAGCAATCCTGCGCCAGCACCAAGCGCGATACCACCCATGCCCATTCCGCCGCCGCCGGTCCTCCCAGCGGGCGCAGCTTGCGGGTAGTACCCGCCCTGCGGCGGGTATCCACCCTGTCCGTAGTATCCTTGCTGCGGCGCGTACCCGTACTGACGTTGCGGAGGACCCTGCTGGTAGTATGCCTGCTGCTGCGCAGGGTAACCGTGCGAAGCCGAATGTGAGCCGCCTGAGGCCTTACCGAGCAGCTTCCCCAGGAATCCGCCTTTCTTCCCGTCCCGATCACGTGGAGGCAGCTCTTGCGATCCGTACTGCGAAGTACCCTGGCCATACTGAGGCGCAGCGCCTTGTCCGTACTGAGGGGCCGAGCCCTGGCTGTAGTAGCTGTCCGCAGCGCCGCGATCGCTGGAGCCTCCTCCACGTGCGCGTGCCTCCTCCTCTGCTTGCAGTTTCCGCGCTAGGGCCTCGTCGTCGCTAGCATTATGCGAGCTGCCGGGTGTGCTACCGCCATAAGGGTTGTTGGAGCCAAGACCGCCTTTTTCGGGCCCGGTTGTGCGCGAGGAGTTGTGGTCGTAGCCTGGTGGTGGACCCGGAGGTGCGCCGTCGCTGGGTGGTGGATAGACGGGTTCGGTGGGGCGCTCCCATTGCGATTTCTTGGTGTAGATGTTCACGTAGAACCACTCTTTGTACTGGTCTGCTATAGCGGTGAGTTGACGAGGCATTGGGGAAGCAGCCAGGCGGCGGGTTGGAGGAGAATATAGGAGCGAGGGGTGCAGACTGACCATTCCACTGAGCTCTCCAGCCTTCTGGCACCTTTGGTGGTGGAGGGCCCTTTTCGATGTCAGTACGTTTGCTTGCACAGCGAGCCATGCAGACATACCGATGGTGGGGCGTAGGCGTCGGCCATGGTTGTGGCTGTGGTTGTGGTCGTGGCCGTGGCCGTGGTCTTGTATGTGATTGTGTAGTGAGAGGAGAGGAGAGGAGACGAGAAGAGAAGAGACGAGAAGAGAAGAGACGAGAAGTTCAGTTCAGTTCAGTTCAGTTCGGGGAGATGGTGTTGGAATGTGTAAAGCAAAAGCTCGGATGTGTCTTAAGAAGACGGCCGCAAGCAATACAACACAGCGCTAAACGATAAGAAGGCAGGGAGGTGGAAAGAAGGAAGGTGATGATCGAGTGATTGAGCCAAGCGGCGGGGTACGTCATGTGATGCTTGGCGGTACGTCTTCTTGCATTCAAAGGGTCCGATATACACACTAGTCACCAATCATCGAACACCAGCTCTTGACCCACTACACTACGCCGCAGTGTGGCTAAGAGCTCGTGAACACGTGTGCTTCTCTCTGAACTTTTTACCGAGGTTAAACGAGAAGAAGGAGAAGAAGAAGAAGAAGAAGAAGAAGAAGAAGAAGAAGAAGAAGAAGAGAGGAGGAGGAGGAGGAGGAGGAGGAGCCCTCGGGCTTAAATGTCGTGGCGCGTGTCCGTCTGTGGTTCTGGTATCATGCTAAATAACACCCACAACAACAGTCCCTCGTCTCACTCATCCACTTCTACTCGGCCCCCCAATTCGCGCTGTTCACATAAAAGCTCATCTCTTCATCTCTCATCTTCTTCATCTCCTTGTCTACAGGATCCACCTCAATCACATCCTTCTTAGTCTTCTCTCTGTGTTCTTCCCGCACGAGCTCGTAGCCGAGCACATCCGCGCGCCAGGCCAGCCCGCACATCTCACACTCCACCACCCTCACTCTTGGCGAAACCCTTGCCCGATTTCCGCATCTAAAGCACTTGAAATCGCATTTCTCGCACATTGATGTACGAGACAGGACTCCGCACTCTTTACACACGTATCTGAAAGCCTGGAGGTAGTCGGCTTGCTTGCGTAGAACAGCTGCTTCGAGGGGAGACGTGAGCTGGGCTCTGAGGGCTCTGGCTTGCAATATGGAGGAGTCCGCGAGCGCCGCATGCAGCGTCGCCGGCGGTCTTTCGGTGCGCAGGAGCGAGGGGATGCGGCTGCGCGAATGTTTGTCGTCGCCTTTGAGGGTGTAGTATCCCTGGTCTTCGGTGGGCTTGTACGCGCAGTCGAGATGGCATTGCTCTTCCTGCTGCCGGGACAATCTGAGTGAGGCTGCTAGCGCGTCTTGAAACTCGGCGGCTTGCTTGCGTAGGATGGGGCGCTCACGTCTTGCTTCGGCATCAACCTCGTCGGCCTCCTGGAGGAGTGTTGCTGCTTTCAAAGGAGATGTCCCGGCTTGTGCGGCTTCTGCTCGCTTGACGTGGGACTCGCACGTGGGGATCCCTGGAGCCGTGTAGTTGGGTCCTTGGACTACTTGACGAACAGGTAAAGAGCCCATCCGGCGAAGCGAGAGCTCTCCCGAGTCGAGGAACGGCTGGAGCCTGACGGACTCATCTTCCTTCGAGTTTGCCGGCATAAAAGCTCGATGCATGGTGAATCTGCTCAACGAGGGCATGCTGATTTCAGCCTCGTCTTGGTTGTCGACAGTCAGCAGGTTTAGTCTGCAGTTCTCTGTGCCGATAAGAAGCTTTGCATGATCAGGGCTGAAGGAACCGGACATGACAGCGGAGTTGAATGATGCGACATCCTTGATATGCATGTCCTCATCAGCTGCGTAAGGGTTCCAGCACTTGACAACACCGTCGGATGAGCCGGTGTACAGCCTTGTGCGGTTCTCACCCCACGAGAGGAAGCGGATACCGGTGTCGGCTTCCCACCGATACTTGGTGTGAGGGATCACACTCAGACACTCCCCATGTGTGAGCACACGCTGCGGGCTTTGATGCCTGTCCACGTAACGGCAGTCCCACACGAAAGCCTTGCCATCGGTACTGCCAACTGCGACCAGGTTCTCATCATAAGGACAGTAAATCACATCGTTGATGTCGTAGGCTGGGCATTCAAGCTCCATGTTGTAGCTCGCTCTGGCTCCACCTTGACCGGGTGCGTACAGACGCACGACTGATTGAGTGCCCTTGTTGACACGAGCGTTCGGTACAGTCGCTGTCGCAAACGCGGTCCTGCAATTCAATACGGGATTCCATGTGACGTCGAACACGGCGCCTCCAGACCTGCCCATCGGTATGCGCGCCCCTGTTTCGACATCCCACAAGCAGGTCTCTCCTTGCACGTCTCGAGAAATGTCTTCCTCATATCTCTGTTCTTTTTCACAAGAGAACCCCGCAAGCAGGTACTTGAACTGAGAGCCTGTTCCCCACCTCAGCGCCGATGGATACGTTGCAAGCCCTGTAATCTTGTTCGGCGACAACGTTGTCAGCTGCTCATAACCCTTTTTTCTGCTGCGAACGATTCTGATACTGTCACGTCCAGAGTATCGGCAGCCTGTGGCGAGAATGCCAGTGCTGCTGATGGATAGAAAATCCACGGCAGCCTTGTGCGGTATCTTGTACATGAGTTTGATGGAATCTGTGCTTTCGAGATTATTCTGGTTTCGGATTTTGTAGGCATTGACGCAGCCATCGACAGCAGCAGAATACAGACGGTCGCTGTTAGGTGAAAATGCGACTTGCTGCACAGTCATGAAGAGTCTTGGATCCAAGCATTCCCTCATAGACTGGAGCGCGTTAACTCCACTCTTGACCACCGGACGAGCTACGTGATGCTCGGGAAGTTCCCGAACCTCATTCTTGTTGCCGATGAGGAGGTTCCGCGGGTTGTTGTACTGTTGAGACTGCGGATCTGACTCGCACACAGCCCCGGCTGCAAACATGTTGCCATTAGGTGACCAGCTCACAGTTGAGACGTCCTTAGAGAATTCATCTTGGTACTTGACTGGGCGTAGTGTATCGAAAACGTAATTCTTCACCAGGTGCTGGATTGTAGGGACGGACGTTAGATGCCTAACTGGGCGTAGGCCACGAAGGTCTTGCCGCTCAACGGCATCCTGAAGGGCTTTAGAGGTGTTTCGAGAGCGAACGCCCCGCTCTCCAAGCTCTCGACACCTCAATAGAGTGTCGAGTGAGGGTGCCGGTCGTCTGGGCTGTAAGTGGATGTCAGGATCCATCGGCTCGCCGGCGCCCAACTCTGTCTCCA